GGAGGCAACATGTTAGGCGTTTTAAAAAACAAAAGTTTTGAGGATATCGGAACAGATCCCGCGAAATAAAACGGCACCCACCGGAAAGCATCGAAACCCTCAAACTGTAAGAGAGAGACAAAAAAACAGAAGCTGGGAAAGGAAATCCTTAATTCTGAGCCTTTAAAAAAAGTTATTTTTAAGGATGGTCTTCTACATCACATCATCGCCCGCTGTAAAAAAGCAGAGCGAGAGAGGGGGGAAGAAAATAGGGATGCAGGGAAAGTATCCTACCTGTGGGTTTAGGGAAAGCAAAGGCAGAGGAGTCTCCTGGGAGGATTAAAATAAGGGGCACCACGGGCAAAGTCCTGCGTTCATGAAAGAGGAACTGGTGGGGAAGAGGGAGATACAGAAGGCAGAGCTGAACCTTCTCCCTGCTTTTCCAATTCGGCGGAAAGGCCTCCGTCCTGCTCCGGATGACAGGGTTCCGGCGGTAATCGACACCCTTCCACCAAACCGTGGGGTGCAAAACTTGCCTCCCGAAACTCACCTGGCCCTTCTGTACCTCTCCCCCCCTCTCCATCCTTGAGAAAAAGGGGGCAACTTCCAAGGATCAGTGCCTCAAAAGGCAGGAATGGCGAAGCCACGGGCATTTTACGGGGAAATCGGCATCTTGGGTCCTTGCTAAGAATGTCCCTATTCACCCCAGGAAGCTCCTCTTGCCTGAAAAGGAGAGGAAGTCTCCGATGGCTGAACGTTGAAGGATTTTTGCTAACTCCTTCGGGATATTCAGGAGGGTGGCGGGGGTTGCGCGCGGGGGAAACCGAGGACCGATTCCTAACCCCCCAATCCGTGAGTCTGGAAGGGCAACCTGTGGGGGCGAGTGGACGAAAAAAGAAAATACAGAACCCAAAAGGGGGATTTCTACAGGGGAAGCCTTTACTCTACTGACAAGTCCCGCATGCATCAGACAGATGGTGGGGGAGACCGGCCTGGTTCACCCCATACCCCCTCTCCTGCCCCATGGCACCGGGCTAAAAGCCGTATCCGATTTTGCTGCCGGTTCCAACGTTTGCCACCAAAGCCTCTTCCCCGGGCGGCCCCGTCGGGACAGAGGCTTGAAAAAAAGTTATTGCACATTCCTTTACAACATCACCGTCATTTCTGAAAAGATC